AGGAAAAGAACATTAGTGGAAACACTGTGGAAATCAGAATTAGGTGTGCAGTTTACTTAATAATAATAAGCCAGGGGCGCCTGGGTGGCTCAGTCATTAAGCGTCTTCCTTCGGCTCGGGTCATGGTCCCAGGGTCCTGGGATCGAGCCCCGCATCAGGCTCCCTGCTCCGCGGGAAGCCAGTTTCTCCCTCTCCCACTCCCCCTGCTTGTGTTCCCTCTCTCGCCATGTCTCTGTCAAATAAATAAATAAAATCTTTAAAAAAAAAATCAGGATTGTAATGTATGAAGAGCTGTGGATTACATGATTGGTCCTAAGAACATTCTCGAGGGGTTTTGTTGCTTATTTGGCAAATACTTAAGAAGTTTGGTCTCAGTCCTTTTGACAGGAGTGTAGAATGTCAGGCTGGGATAGACATATGAATTAGAAAATGGAGGCTTGCAGCATTCTCACCAGCAAGCACAATATGGTTTTTTCCAGTCTTATTACTTAAAAATCCTTCATCTGATATTTAAAATGTATTTATGTTGAGTCATTTCTTTCTTTCTTGCTGGTGAACCAAAAGATCATGAAATGATTCTGCAGAGCCAGTAGCATTACGTTCAGTTTCTTTTTTTGTATATATCAGATAAGAGGTTTGCAAATGGAAGTAGGGCCACCTCACATCCTCTGTATGGTCATGGCAGTGATGTTTGCCTTTTTGTCACTGATGCAACATTTATTAGTTCATAAACCCATTTCCAAAGAACCTAAGGGCTTTTTGAGGAAAGGTGACTGTAGTAAGAATGAAGTTTTTAACAGGCTACTTTTGTTTTTACAAACGTTTCTTTCCTTCTTTCTAGTATTTAGAAAATACTAGTTTTTTAAGTATGTTGTGGAGTGGGGGTGGGGAGGCTGACAGGACAAATGGAAATTAATGCATATATTTGGAGTTAGGATTTCTTAGTCTTCAACTAGGAAGGAAAAATAGAAGTTTTGAGGTTCATCTCAGCTTAAGTCTCTAAATTGCTCTCTCAGCCATCCCTTCTGGTTGGTGAGAAGCTCAAACATCTGAGGAATTAAAGCACCCGAAGAGGCTAGGCTGACTTTCGGTAAACCTTACTAGTAACAGAAATGAAAAGGCCACATTTCAGAGTTGCGCGTATGTCCCCATAGACTAGGGGACCCTGTACACCTCCCCTCCCGTCTCTAACTCGCTGCCATCCCTTTATTCCGCAGGTAGGTCCTCCTGTACCTGGTGGGCCTCAGTGGCTACAGTCCTTCCAGTAAGCCTAAGAAAAGGTGTCCAAATTTTCTGAGATTTTCACAGGATTTAAATACTTCTTTGAGGGGGTATTTGTCCTGTCACGAGTGACAATGGAGCAGGGTCAGGACTCAGTCCCTGGGGGCACGCCTGGCTGCATTCACTAGTAGCCGTGCAGCAATGTTCCGGTTATTGTTTCTAGCTCTTCCTGTATTCTGCTTTTATCATTGGAAATACCCGTAATTTCATGAGATTGTTAAGATGTTACTTTTATTATACATTATATATTTCATAATTTTAAAATCTATTACATATAATTATTTCATTATTTTTCTTTTAAGTACTAATGGCTTCTTTTTCCAGAGCAATCATGAAATTTCACAGTATGAAAATGGAAGAAATCAACAAAATTATTCGTGACCTTTGGCGAAGTACCTATCGTGGACAAGGTAATTGACATGATTTGTCGTGAATGCTTTTTTCCAAAGCCTCGTCCCTAGCTCTTGCCGCATAGGATCTCTCATCATGCCAGCACTATCGCCTGGACCCCTTTCTGAACATCTCTTTGAGATTTTCTAAGAATTCTTATCTTGACAACATCTTGTAGCAGGAAAAAAAAATGCAAGGTTTTTTATTCCAGAGCCTGACAGGACTTACATATTTGGCTATGTATATATTATATTTAACTGATGACCTAATAGATTCTGTTGAAGTGTAGATAGGGATAAGCTGAAAGGCGATAAGAAGAAAACCAGCAGGAGGAAACTCTTAATAGGGGAACTAAGAAAGGCAGAGCTGAGACTGAGGGTTGGGGCATCGGGCTTGCTTTTGCCTCCTGAACCCTCTCAGCCAGTTTGGTAATGTCAGCTTCACACACTGCTTCATGGAAGGCTTACTTAGTATCTGCAAGTGACAAAAGGCTACAGAGTGCGGGTTCCTCTGAAATAATAATCTTTTTGTGTCAGATATTGAATACATAGAAATTCGGTCCGATGCCGATGAAAATGTATCAGCCTCCGATAAAAGGCGGAACTATAACTACCGCGTGGTGATGCTAAAGGGAGACACAGCCTTGGATATGCGAGGACGCTGCAGTGCTGGACAAAAGGCAGGTATCTCAAGAGCCTCGGGCGCCACCTGTGCACAGAGAATTGACAGGGAGAAAGTACTGCTGGTGCCATGAAAGCACCCAGGGCTGCCCGGGAATGGTGGGAAGCTCCTCGGAGCACTGTGTGTTGCCACATAAAGTTGATCAGACTCAGCTATCCCGTTCCACTCGTCCAGTTCTAACCAGCATTTCCTGCACCATTGGGTGGTCCTTTAGGAGAAGGGGTCTGAAGCATTCTCACGTGATAGGCCTTATGCAGATCAAGCAGCTAACAACCATTGTTTCATAACACGCCTTGTGGGAATAAAGTTACTGTGTCATCACTTGTAAGACACACTTTTATGTGCCACCGAGAAAGAAAAAAAAATGCAACTGTAATTGTAAGAGTGCATCCTGATTTCAGAGCAATCAAAGGTCGGGGAGGGATGTTAGAAACAATGATAGGCAGTATTACCAAACCAGATCCTAGGTTGAGCCAGATGAGGCATTAAAATATGAAACTCTCATTGAGAAAGCAGCCCCATCACAGGACCGAGTCCCTGCCCCTCTCCCCCTTCAGCCTAAGCCTTTGGGCCTGTAGATCCTCTAAAAGAAAGGTCTGCTAGGGGCATCTGGCTGGCTCAGTTGGTAGACCATACACCTTTGATCTTGGGGTTGTGAGTTTGAGCCCCATGTTGGCTGTAGAGGTTGCTTAAAAATGTTAAAAGAAGGGTCTGCTAGACCAGAAGCCATAACACCCACAGCTGCCTCTCACACACACACACACCCACAACACACACACACCACCCACCCACCCACCACAACCACCACCCCCAGCTGCTGGGCCGGGCCACTTAGCTCCACATGAGGCTGTGGCAGAATAGGCTATGTTGGATAGGGAGCACAGAGCAGATCAGAAAGAGGAATAAAGCTTTAACGAGTCAGGAAAATTGGACCTGCATCCTTGGGAACGAGGCTGGGTCCTTTGTGTGCAGGTTTGTAACAAGATGGTCTGGATTCTTGAGCTTCCTCCTTTCAGATTAGAAGATTATATTTGATAACACTTCTAGACCCCCCAATTTTCTTAACAAAATCTTAACAGTTCTCGAAATGGCTGCTCACATTCTCTGAGGTATTCCATAGTTTTCAGTTTTTGCTTTAAGACAATCCTGTGTGTATGTATTTTGTTGTCAGCCCAGACAGCAGATACCAATTTAAGGCACATGCAGATTATTATCTTAATCATAGTTTGCAAAAATGAGAAATTTGTGATCTATAATCAGTATTCCTACTTGCTTTGGTGATTTTCAGTGGTAATTATGAATAAGAAAATACAGAGTTTGAAACCTGTCCCTTGGATTAAGAATACTTTGAAAATTATTTTCTGAACAAAGTAGATTTCCTAAAGATACTCTAAATTGTAAAAATTGGCAATAATTGCTTCCTTGGTGTTGGGGAAGACGACAGACTAATAGTCTCGTAGAGGTGGGCCGGGAACTTCATTTAAACTCTACTCGGAGTACCTGGTAGTAGAGGTGGCAGCCACAGTAGGGTTCAAATACAGGAAGGAAGGGTCTTCGCCAAGGGGCCCAGCTGTGATCCTGACTTCTGCGGTCTGCCAGCCTGCCCTGGGCGTCAGAGGCTGTAAACTGCTCTGTCACTCACTGATGCCCCTTTGTTCGCAGGTTCGGGGGACGGGCTATTGACAGCTCACGCATAAGTATTTTATACTTCCTAGACTACTCTGTCACTCTTAATTCTGTGTCCCTTATCCCCTCAGATGGCTTCAGCTGCATCTGAGGGTTTTAGTGTTGGGTTTCTATTAACCAAGAAAGTGCCTCCAAGTGTCAGTTCCTTGGATTTCCTGTAGGTAAGCTTAAATAAAACATACTTCTGTACTCCTGATACATTGGCCCAGGAATATTCTTTCTCTATCTCAGCTTGCTCAAAAGGCAAGGGAAATTACATTTGCAAGCCCCTGCCTGCACGTAGACATTTAAGTGCAGTATCTGGTGCCCCTTTTACACCACGGAACATAGAGATTTCAAGGTAACTCAGAAAAGGTGTGTGTGGGACTCTGGAAGTTGTCATGTGTCCATGTTTTCTAACTAATCTCATCAGGAAAATAAAAGATCCAGGCCTTGAATTTTTAACGTTGTTAATCTTATACTATTACTCAAATTACTAGTTACAGATAAACAGTAATGTACTTCAGATTCAAACCTGTGCCTTCAAGTTTCATTATAGCTGACAAGATTTGTGTGCATTTGGGGATAGTGAGATCACCATTGCTTTTAGCGTTGTATTTCACTGCCACTGACAGATGGCTCACCTTCTGGAAGGGTTTAAGAGTCTGGTCACAGTGCCAGGCTCTCCCAGATCGAAGAGCAGTGATTTACCTAAGGTCAGTGAGCCCATGACATTGCTCCCTTTCCCTGACAAAGACAGTAGGCCAGGTCTGCCTGCTTTCCTAAAAGTGCATGAGGAAAAGGTCTGAGGCTCTGGTGCTTTATTCCAGGTATTAGCCTCACTCATCATTCGCCTGGCCTTGGCTGAAACGTTCTGCTTGAACTGTGGCATCCTGGCCTTGGATGAGCCAACAACAAATCTTGACCGAGAAAACATTGAGTCTCTTGCACATGCTCTTGTTGAGTAAGTATCTCCAGTTTGGGGTCAGGTTATGATAGAACTCTTCATCTTACCTTAAAAACTATGGTGAAAATCCTCTCTAGATGTGTCTTCCTTGGGGAAGCTGGTTGGTGGCAGATCTTAGGCTTTACCTTTGATAGTAATTCTTCAGATGCTTAAAAAAGAACTAGGTAGTGAACAGCAGTCCCAGACACATCCTGCATCTCCCCGAGTGTGTTCATAGGGAAACTGAAGGGTTTCCTGGCTTGGTTTGGTTTTTCTGTAAACCCCCCAGCGGTGCCCACGTGTCATGTAGAGGACTTAGCATGCCCTGCTAAAACATTTGTAGGTGGTAACAGTGGATTCGGGCCCATCGCCCCAGCCCTATGAGGAATGACAGCTCTTATTCAAAAAGTGTAATAGTGGGTAAGTAGAGTCTAGAAAGTAGAATTGCACACACCTTTGCCACACTCACATGCCCTTGGTAGAGGCTCCAGGGATAGGCACCCATTGCTGAAAGACTGCTGACAGAGGAAAGGCCCTTCTTCTAAGCTAGAGCAGCTGTTTTGGGTACTCCGGCTTCAGATACATTCTTTCTGGCAGAGATGATAGCGGGGACCCCTTTCTCAGCCATGTCTCCGTAGTCTCGTGTGGCCAGCGCGGAAGGGCTACTACTTTTGAAAGCTAAGTGCATCCAGCTGCAGGCAAGGGATAAATAAATGATTAGTTAAAAGAAAAAGCCTGATTCCAGTCTCGTAGCTAGTTACCTCAGCATATAGATAATGAGCAAAAATGTTCCCAGTACACCCACTCAGGTCTCCTGTGTGTCATACTAATGATGCATCTAGTGACTGGTGGTGGCAGAATTCTAAGTAGACCCAGCTCCTGAGAAGGCAGAGGGGCTTGCAAATGTAATTTCCCTTGCCTGTAGTTGGTCTTTTTTTTTTTTTTTGTCTCGCAAGACAGAATTCGTGACAGGTCACAAAAACCCCAGACAAGTCAGACTCCTACTAAAGTCGAACAGCACAGATATTAAGGAAAATTAAGTAAAACATTTCTGCCTGCTTTAGTAAGAAGAAATGTGTGTTCTGGAAGAAACTACATCGTGTATTCTTCCCAGTGCCTGTGTCAGACCTAGGTGAGGAATCACTTCAGACGGGACTCCTAGCTGGCAGGTGTGAAGGCCTCGGTCCACCCCACCCCTCTCCAGTTTCCTACAGGGCTGGCACATTGTGTCAGGTTTCCGACAAGGTTCTCAGTGGCTTTCTATATAAAGGAAAGGATTTTTGTGCTCTCCAGTAATAAAACATTCTAAACCTACTGTTTCAGGATAATCAAGAGTCGCTCACAGCAGCGTAACTTCCAGCTTCTGGTCATCACTCACGATGAAGATTTTGTGGAGCTCTTAGGCCGTTCTGAATATGTGGAGAAATTCTACAGGATTAAGAAGAACATCGATCAGTGCTCAGAGATTGTGAAATGCAGTGTTAGCTCCCTGTCTTACGTTCATTAAAAATAGTCAAGATTTTGCCTTGGAAACACAAGTCCTCAGGCAACTGCTTATTTTTCAGTAGGAAAATCTGTCCTCTCAGAGGAGCTTTGCGTCTAGGATTTTGAATGTCTGAGGTTCTACCATCATTAAAATTGTTTCACATGGGGGCACCCAGGTGGCTCAGTCGTTAAGCGTCTGCCTTCGGCTCAGGTCATGATCCCGGGGTCCTGGGATCGAGCCCCGCATCGGGCTCCCTGCTCCGCGGGAAGCCTGCTTCTCCCTCTCCCACTCCCCCTGCTTGTGTTCCCTCTCTCGCTGTGTCTCTCAAATAAATCTTTAAAAAAAAATTGTTTCACATGAAATTTGGACTGATTTCCTGAACTTCAACCCCCTACAGGCAGCCTCTGACGGGCCTGGGGGGGCTCAATAGCAACACAGTTGGACTCCACTCCCCTGCTTCCCTTCCCAGCATAAATGAATGCTTCCTGGTACCTGAGGTTACTTCACTCAACTTCCACTTTTCAGTGGACTTTTGAGAAGTAGGTTCTCACTGTCTTGATAATTGGAGTTATTAGCAAGCATTCATATCTAAAGACCAGAAATGAAGAGGTTTTAATATTTCACTCTGCTCTGAACTTTATAAATCCAGGAAGTGACCGCCCTCACTGGGACTGTTTCCCCAAGTAAAATTCAAAGTAGTCACATGGGGCACCAGGGTTTGAAGGAACCTTAAGTAATCATGTCATTCAGAACCTACCATCTTCCCTCCCCACGTGCCCCTGCCAGGGAGCCATCCAAACTTGGGGCTCTCTCTAGACAGACGAAGTTCTCCGCTGTGCACATCCACCTTTGGAAAGCTCTGATCGAGAGCAGGCCACCCTTGGCTTGGGGCGTGATCTGCCATCATGAAGTAGTCTGTCCCTCTCTACATCTGTCCTGTGTATCATCTCTGCTTCACCCTCAATCCTGATTGTTCATCCAGTGTGCGTTCCAGTGTGGAAGGCAAGCAAGACTCACCAAGTGCTGGCCTCCTCCCAGTGGGGTCCAACCAGACCTGGAAGAGTAGGGCTCATTCTCATTCCAGAGGTCATTTCTGACAAAAGTCCAGTCACACCTTTATCCTGGGATTGCCGGCTGACACCAGGAAGCTTTTCCCAAGCATTACACACACAATGCTACCAAGTCACACACTTTTGAACGAGCCCGTGGAGTTTCAGCTTTCTGAATCTCAGTCATGTGGCACAAGCAGTTTTGGACCACCTGTGACTACCAAGTACATGGTAGGGGCAGTCCTCCTCAACCAGGGTGTGCAAAGAATCCAGCCCCGAGGCCCTCGGCATCTGCCGTAGGCTAGAGAACGCCCTCCAAAGCTCGCGAAGTCCTAATCCCTGGGGTCTACGAATGTTCCCTCATGTGGCAAAGAGGACTTGGCAGATGTGATTAACGGTAAGGCGCTTGAGACGGGATCTTCCTGGTGGGCCCTAAGTGTCATCACGGAAAGCCACGTTCAAGCAGAGCGTGTGTGCTGCCCGAGGAGCAGGGTGCTGACCGAGGCCGAGCCTGCAGTGCGGTGCTTGGGAGGAGGAGGGAGGGCTACAAGCCGCGCACTCCAGGCAACCTGCAGAGGCTGAAAACAAAGGAACGCTCTGCCCTCAGAGCCTCCAAAAGGAACCAGCCGACACTGACTTAAGAGCCCTGATTTTGGGGTTCTGACCTCCCGAACTGTGTAAGAATCGCTTTGTGTTGTTTTGTCTGTGGGCTAATTTATTATAGCAGTAGGAACCTCCTACTGTACCCATTGTCATCCGTTTCTGTGCATCTAAAGTGATCTCTCAGTTGATCCTTGAACAACATGGGTTTGAACTGCGAAGGTCCACTATATATACGTGGGTTTTTTTCCCCCCGATGAAGTACAGTACTATAAATGCATTTCCTTCTCCTTATGATTTTCTTAGTATTTTCTTTTCTCTAGTTTATTTCACGCTAAGAATACAGTATGTAATACATATAATATAGAGAATACGTGTTTTATCAACTGCTGATATCATCAGGCTTCCAGTCAGTAAAGTTATACATGGGTTTTTGACTGCGCTGAAGGGGTTGGTGCCCCTAGCTCCCAGGGTTCATCGTTCAAGGGCAACTATAGTTACCTACTCTCTGTGGGAGAACTTAAAAAAGAGTTCCTTGAACCATTTTCTGTGTTCCATTATTCACATGAAGAACCTTGGCTGAGAAAGCCCGGTCCAGACCCTCACCCAATCCTTGGATCAAAGAGCCAAGCAGCAGAGCCACCACTCAAGCCATCTGCTTCCTGTCCACAGACTGACAAGGGTCAGCCATCCTAATTTGCTTTGAAAAACTAAAATTACCCTATTTACCAAACTAGCATGATCTCCACAAAGGTACCAGGAGGAAAAACACCAGTCTCAGAGCAAAGATCCAGGACTTTGTAAATTAACTAGAAGCCCTTCAATCCCAGCCATACAGTAAGCATACACAATTACTAGTAGCTCAAGAATGCAAGAATATTTCAAAAGGTGATAAATCTGTTCATAAGTCATCACCATAATAAAGCCAAAGAGGAAAAAGTTCTGACTGATAGACACCACAAACACCATCTTTTGATAAAATTCAGTATCTCCTAGCTTTAGCAAAACTAAAACTTTTGCGAAGAATCTTTTAAGATTTTCTTAAGAGAGAGTGTGCAAGTCGGGGGAGGGGCAGAGGGAGAAGGAGAGAGAGAATCTCAAGCAGACTCCCCACTGAGCACAGAGACTGATGTGGGGCTTAATCTCACAACCCTGAGACCATAACCTGAGCAGAAATCAAGAGTCTGAGGTTTAACTGACTGAGCCACCCAGACACCCCCAAAATATTTTCTTAACGTTATTTATCATCAAATCAAAATTAAAGTCATCTTAATAGCAAAAGAGGAAGAATTTCCCATTAAATAAAAAACATGGTATCTTCTACCAACATGTTTCTGAAAGCTCTAGTCATTACAACATGGAACGACAGTAAGGGCAATACGAGGTAAATACAGGCAATGAAACAGTTATTTACAGTTAAAAAAGGTTTCCCATTTCAGCTTCCATTCCCCTTGTATCTGGGCCATGGAAGTGGGGTAGGTGCCCTTCTTTTCATTGCTGCTTCTAGATCACTCTCATTCAACACATGGGATGAACAGGCATCACAGTGTGAAACTGAAGAATAGGAGGCAAAGTCATAAGCTAAATCCGGGCACCACCACTCACTGGCTCTGGGACCCTGGGCAAGTCATTTATTCGCTTTTACTTCCGTTTCCGTATCTTTAACGTAGGTAAAACAGCTCCTATCCTGGCGGGGGTGGGGGGGTGTTAATGAGGATTAAATGACTATAAACTGCTTAGAACTGCCTGGCACATAAGTAAGTACCAGGTCTGTTCAAGAAAAACCTATCTTTAGTTTACTCTTTCCTGTTTCTGTTCTCCTTAACCCCCAGCCTGCTCACTCCCCCTTATTCGTTGACAAGTTTAGCTCCCAGTGTGTGGTCATTCCCCAAGACTGATTTCATAATCACAGTGATTTCAGCATTCAAATGGTGACATAACATAACCCCGGGCCTCTCAGCTCCTGTTCTTTCCTGCACTGAAAAGACACTCTGTAGTCTTACTCCAGAGTCCAGTCCTTCCAGTAACAAAACTTGCAACTCTCCATAACTGCACTGTTGAGCACCTGGGTCTCCAAAAAAGCCCCTGGTACGTTCCCTACGTAGGTAGGGAATAGTCAAGACTGACAATTCACTCTTGGGGACTCCAACCCTAGCAATTCTTTGAGTCCACCAAGATTTCAGGTCCTCGCTTCCCTCATACCTTTTCCTCTCCTTTTACAGCTTAGATTCCATAGCCCATCATCCTGTCACTGTCTTGCACCGACGCTTGACTGCTTGCCCACGTTCTGCCAACCCCCCACGCTGCCGAAGGAGAACCCGCTTCTCCCTGCACATGTAGTTTCCCTGACCTACAGGTGGGGCAGCCCTCTGGTGCTCGGTCTGGGTCTGCTCCTCTTGGCTTCTCGGCACTCACTTGTTTGGAGCCTTCATCTACCTCACAGCTTTGAAATTATCTTCGTTTGAGTTCTGCCCATAGCAGAACCTGAAATGATTCCAGGGAAAGGAAACAGGAGACTAGGGGAATTTTATTAAGAGAAATCAGCCAACGAAGAGTGTGTTCTTAAGCCAGTTACCACAGTTGGCAACTGTAGTTTAATCCACAGGACACTCTGGGAAATGCCGCACAACACTTGCCTCAGAGCTATCCCACGTGGGGGGCAAGAGCGCTGGGCTGTTTGCGCCCCCGAGAGTCACTAAGGGCCATCCCAGCGCAGGTCGGCTACTGACATGCCAGGGGCACCTTCCACGGTTAGAAAATAAAAACACGGGCGAAGAAAGAAAAGCCTTTGGACAAAGATACAGTTAACGGCGGCAGACAAAAGCACACCGGAAGTTCTTATGATAGAGGCAGGGCATGACAGCGCTTTCCCCGATCCCCTCGATGCTGACTACTCAGATGGGCCTCCAGTCCAGATCTTGTCTAAACTCCTGACTCAGAATCAGCTGCTTCTGGACATCGAGTTGCACTTGAATATCTAACAGACATCTGAAACTTCAAATGACCATAATCAGTCTTCTCCCCCAGAACCTGCACCTCCCATAGGCTTTCAGTTAATGGCAACTCCATTCTTTCAGTTGCTCAGGCAAAAACTTGCCATCATCCTTCATATTTTGTTTATCTCATGTCCCACATCCAACCCAGCAGTTTAATACTATGGGTTCAACTTTCAAAATGCATCCAGAATCTGACCATGTCTTACCTTCTAAACAGATGCTGTTCTGGCCCAAGTCACCATCATCTCGAACCTGAATAATCTGAGGAGCTACCTAACTATTCTAACTGGCTGGTCCTGAGCCCGGCCCTTCATTCTCAACACAGCTGGCAGTCATCTTTGTAAGAGTAAACCAACTCCATGGGTTTCTCTCAGGGGTGTGGGTTAGCAATTCTGAAATGACTTTATACACAAAAATCGAACACGCACATATACCGTAGATAATAAGGACCAAGTTTCTCACTGTTAGAGAATTTTGTCTATCAGGAAAGAGGAAAGGCTATACAAAGAACCCTGAAGTATTGGGTTGAATCCAAAGTGTCAGTGTAAATTTACAGCTTTAGTATATAAAGAATTTCTACTTCCTTTAGGGAAG